TCAGAAGATGGTGAGGGCTTCACCACTCTGTGACAGACAGCATGGGAAAATTGTTTAGCTATTTAAGAATTATTTTGCAAAGAAACTGGGGATTTAATAGTCTATTGTATGTTGTACCATAAAATTGTTCTGAGGATCCGGAGAAATCTCTGTATGCAAGGGACAAGTTCAAAAACCAGCAATGAATGCTTGCGATCTTCAGGCCCTCAGGTGGCACTGTCCTAAATCCAGATAAAGTCATGGGTTTGTCACACACAGATTGGGCCAATACAGATTGGGCCCTGGATTAAAAACGAACAGAATTTCATAGTGGAAATCAATGCATGGGCTCACAAACACTTCTGAAAACCATTCTCAGTGAGCACAATTTGTTAATGCTGCCACAAATGCAAGTTAAATCTTTTCTACATCGAGAAAAAAACATAAATAAGCAGGATTCAGAAACGCTGCCACCTAGAAACGCCTAATATTTTTCTGAGCCGGACCAGTCCATCTCCTCAGCTGGATTGTCATGGGGGCCCAAGTGGTCAGAGTCCATATCGATCGACAGCTCCTCAGAAGGATCGTCAGAGGAGCCCAAGTGGTCAGAGTCCATGCCGGTCGATGGCTCCTCAGCAGGAAAATCCCTCACCAGGAGATCAGGTCAGGAAGAGGTGCGAGCCGGTGGGTGGGGGTTCCTCGAAGGCACGGTGGTGCTGGTCAGGATGGCGATGGTGGAAATCCGTGATGAGGTCCGGGTTGAGAATGTGGCCAGTAGGAACCTATGACCTCTCCTCAGGACCGTAGCCCTCCAAGTCCACCAAGTACTGAACTCCCCTCCCATGACGAACAGACCAGACCAGGTGCCGCATGGAGTAGGTTGGACCCCCATCGATAAGTCAAGGAGGAGGAAGAGGAGGAACAGTCAGTAACAGAGGACTCTCATGGACCGGCTTTAACTTTGACACATGGAAGGTGGGGTGAACCCGCATGGAGCGAGGAAGCTTGAGTCTCACCGCCATTGGATTGATGAACCTCTGGATGGGGAAAGGGCCGACGAACCTGGGTGCCAGTTTCTTAGACTTCACCTGGAGAGGCAGATCTCAGGTGGAGAGCCATACCTTCTGGTCAACCTGGTAGACTGGGGCAGGAGAACGCCGCCGGTTGGCCGAGGTGGCGTAGCGCCCAACGGCACACTGGAGGGCAGAGCGAGCCTGGGTCCAGGTTTGGCAACAGCGGCGGACGAGGGCTAGGGCTGACGGGCAGGAGAATTCTCTCTCCAAGGCTGGAAAAAGTGGAGGACGATAGCCATAGACGCACTGGAATGGAGAGAGGCCCATGGCGGAGCTGGTGAGGGAATTGTGGGCATAATCCACACACAGGAGCCGCTTAGACCAGGAGGATGGGTTCTGGGACACCATGCAGTGGAGGGCAGCTTCCATCTCCTGGTTCATCTGCTCCATTTGCCCTTTGGATTGAGGCTAGAATCCAGAAGAGAGACTGGCAGTGGCTCCCATCAGGCTACAGAACTTCTTCCAAAAGCCAGAGGAAAACTGAGGACGCTGGTCGGACACCACATCAACAGGGAGGCCATGTAGATGGAAGACATGTAGCAGGACCAGTTGCGCAGTCTCCTTAGCTGACAGCAGCTTCGGCAGAGGGACGAAGTGAGCCATCTTGCTAAAGCGGTCGACAACTGTGAGGATGACTGTTATCGTCTGAGGGTGGAAGGCCCGGGACAAAGTCCAAAGAGATGTGGACCAAGGTCGATGTCGAACAGGAAGGGGTTGGAGGAGTCCAGCAGGAGCCTGATGGGATGCCTTATGTTGGTTGCAGATGGGGCACGCCTTAACAAAATTGTGGGTGTCTTTCTCCAGAGTGGGCCACCAGAAGCATTGGAGGAGGGCGTCTTGGGTACGTTGGACACCAGGATGGCAGGTGAACTTGGAGGCATGGACCCACTGCAGAACCTCTGACCTCAGGGCTTCAGCGACTTACAGATGGTTGGGGGGACAGGCACTGGGACCAGGTTGACCCTCAGTGGCAGCCCTCACTCTCTCCTCAATGTCCCAGGATAGGATGGCTGCGACGCAGGGGGAAGGAAGGATGGAAGCAGGCCCCTCAGCAGAGTCTTCCCCCTTCAGGAACTGCTGGGACAGGGCATCAGGCTTGGTGTTGCGGGACCCCGGGCGATAGGAGAGACTGAAATTGAAACGGGTGAAGAAGAGGGACCAGCAGGCCTGGTGGGAGTTCAGCCTCTTGGCAGTGCGGATGTACTCAAAGTTCTTGTGGTCGGTCCACACCAAGAAGGGTTCCTTGGCGCCCTCAGCCAATGCCGCCATTCCTCCAGTGCCAGCTTCACCGCCAACAGCTCCCTGTTCCCGATGTCGTAGTTAGTCTCGGCAGAAGACAGGCGCCGAGAGAAAAAGGCACAGGGGTGAAGCTTCTAGTCAGTGGTGGATCTTTGGGACAGGACAGCCCCTACCCCCACGTCTGAGGCGTCCACCTCCGCCGTGAACTGGTGATCTGGGTTTGGCATCTAGAGGATGGGCGCAGAGGTGAATCTGGTCTCAGGGTGAACTCCTCAGCAGCAGGGGACCACTGGAAGGGCATGGAGCTGGTGGGGTTTGGCTACTGAACTGTAGAGGATGGCAAACCCCAGGAAGTGTTACAGTTGAGGTCAGGGATGATGACTGACAGTCCATGATGGCATGGAACAAGATCGATGAGGCATTGCATTTCTCAGCCTTAACAAACAGGGAGTTCTCAAGGAAGTGCTGCAGCACAGATTGGGCATGATGAACGTGCTCCTTCTGGGTCTTTGAAAAGATGAGGATGTCGTCCCAGTAAACAAAGACAAAGTGGTTGAGCATGTCACGGAATACATCATTGACCAGGGCTTGGAAGATGGCCGGAGCATTGGGGAGACCGAAAGGCATGACCCAGTACTTGTAGTTCCCTGCAGGGGTGTTGAATGCCATCTTCCATTCGTCCCCCTCTGTGATGCGGACCAGATGATAGGCCTTACGGATATCGAGCTTAGGAAAAATGATGGAACCCTGAAGCAGTTCAAAGGGGAAGAGATGAGTGGCAGGGGATAGCGGTTCTTGACTGTGATCTTGTTCAGACACCAATAGTCACTGCAAGGTCTTAAGGTCTTATGCTTCTTCTCCACAAAGAAGAAGCCTGCCCCAACAGGAGATGAGGAGGGGCGGACGATGCCTGCAGCTAGGGAGTTATTGATGTAAGTCTGCATGGCCTTTCTCTTGGGGGCAGACAGAGAGTACAGGCGGCCTCTAGGGGGCGAGGTTCCAGGCAGGAGGTCTATGGTGCAGTCGTCAGGTCAATGCGGGGGCAAAGAGGTGGCCTTGCCTTTGCTGAACACCTGCTGGAGGTCATGGTATTCGGAAGGCACCCTGGAGACATCAGGTGAAGAACTGGTGTTGGGACAGCAGAACGGTGAAGAGGCATGCTTGAGGCAGGTGAGGTGGCAGGATGTTCCTCACTCACGAATGGAGCCGGTCTCCCAGTCAATGTGGGGGTTTTTACGATGAAACCAAGGATAGCCCAGGATTTTAGCAGGCTCGGAGAGTTCAGGATGTGGAACTGGATGGTCTGGTGATGAATGCCGGACAGGAGCATGGGAACCGGGGTCTGGTGGGTGATGGTACCCAGTCGGTGGTCTTCAAGACCCCGGGCGAGGACCGGAAGAGGCAGAGGAACCCGACTGAGTCCCAACTGCTGAGCCAACTCCTCACTCATGATGCTGACATCAGCACCCGAATCTACCATTAGGGTAGCTAAGATGAGGGGACTGTCAGGAAGGAGCCAGGCTTGGAGATGCAGTCTGTAGTTCTAGATAGGTGGTGTTGTTGAGCTCACTCGTACCTCCCTGGCTACGGGTGAGCCTTAGCTTTTCCTGGACAGGCTGAGACAAAGTGACCCTCCTCCCCACAGTAATGGCACAGGTTCAGGCGTCTTTGACGCTCCCGTTCTTCTTGTGAGAGAGGGGTGCAGTCCAGCTGCACAGGTTTAGACTCCTCCATCTGCTGAAAAGGCGAGGTGGACAATCGGGTGGGACCCACTCTGTACCGGACTGGTGTCTGGCAGTGGAGAGCCCCCTGACGTCTCTCCCACCTACGGGCCTGGATGCGGAGGTCAATTCTGATGGCTAGTTTAATGATTCCGTCGAGTGTGGGGGGAACCTCATACGAGACCAGCTCATCCTTGAGGTAGTCCACCAGGCCATGGAGGAAGGTGTCCACCTGGGCTGCAGGGTGCCAGTGGCTCCAACTGGCTCTGGTGCGGAAATTGATGGAGTAGTCAGCCATCATCCTGCTCCCATGTTTCAGGGTCAGTAGCCCCTGAGCAGCCTCGAAGATGGAGACCCCCAAACCGAAGACCTTGCGAAGCTCCTCAGCAAAGGACTGGAAAAAGACACAGGCTGGAGACTGTCTCTCCCACTCAGCGGTGCCCCATAGGCAAGCCCGGCCTATCAGGTGATTAATCGTGAAGACCACCTTCGCCTGCTCTGAGGCGAAGGTACGGGGCTGGAGGGAGAAAAGCAGGGAACAGTTCTTCAAAAAGGGTTGCATGTCTCAGAGTCTCCGTCATATCGCTCAGGGGTTCCACTTTGAGGTTCTGGGGCCCCCATGGGTAGCACGGGATCAGGAGCCGGTACATGTGCAGGAGGGACAGCGGGCTGAGCCACCATTGCCATCAGCTGCTGCAGTTGGTCGGCTAATGCTGCGAAGGATTGCCTGGTGTCTGAGGCAGCAGCAGACATCATGGCCTCGTGGTGCTGGAGGATGGCTTCAATCTTCTCCAGTCGGGTCAGGGGAATTTGATTGCATGCTGGGTCCATTTCTGGCCAGATTGTACTGACACGGGGAGTGGCAAGACCCAAAAGCAGCACAATCAGAGCGAGTGGACATTTACAGATCTTTAATGACTTTAAGGCAGGGGTTAACAGAAAGCAGTGCAGAGTGAGTGGAGCTCTTCTGGCAACTTGAGGGAGCAGGTGCCAATGGCGGGATTCCAACCTGGGTCACCCACACTGCAGGCGGGTGAGTTACCACTGGGCCACTGGAGCAGGCTGGCTCGAGGCTCGGCAGGCGAGGTCATATCCACAGACAGGCAGTGGAGTGGCAGGACGGGTGGCTTGGACAGGGGCTTGGAAGAAGGCAAACAGGAACCAGGAAGCACACAGGCAGAACTCAGAGTCAGGGGCAGAGGACAATCAGGTTTACCGGGGCAGGAACGAGAGGACGTAATCAGAGGCAGGCAGAGTCGATTCCAGGAAGTCAAACCAAAGGTAAACGCTGGAGAGTAGTGCATGCTGCAACGACAATCTGGCAGTGAGTTAGTGAAACAGAGCTGCTTATATACTGGCTGGTTAACGAGACTCAGCTGAGAGCAATAGCAGTGGAAGGGATGTGGCCAGGCAGAGGAAGCAGACTGTGACTCATGTTGCTTTCAAAACGATAGTAATTGGTCTCCTCAGTTCCAAAACACTTACAGGGTGTCCTCACAAACACAATTCTAAAACACAGGTTCTTCTCAACTTTTTTGAAATGTGTTGCTGGCATCAAATTCAAAATGAGCAGATATTTTTCAAAAACAACAAAATTTCTCACTTTCAACATTTGATACTATTTTCCATTTATTATAGAGCTTAAATGATTTGCCAATCATTGCAGTCTGTGCTTATTTACGTTTTACTCAAAGTCCCAATTTTTCTGGAAATGAGATGGTATGTGTGTGAGTGCTCAAAAAATTTGTAGTGTATACATCCACTCATGAGGTAATTTTTTTGTTTGGTTTTTTGTCTGTCTTTTTGTCTGTTTGTCAGCAGGATTATGGAAAAATTATTGGCCCAATTTTCATGATACTTGGTAGAAGGGTGTGGCATGAGAAAGGGAAAAACTCATTTAATTTCAGACTGGAGCTGAATCAGGGGCAGATACACATTAACTTTGTGAGATATTGCATTGCCAGAATAAATGCCATATATTTCACAATTAATTTGACAGTTGTAAAGATTTAGAGCGACACAAAAGAGCCAATTTAGAAGAGTATACTTCTTCCAATTTTGAACAGTGGACCATCAGCACATATTGTGATTACCTCTCTGAGATGTGCTGAATGCCCCAGTCAGAATGTGCAGTGTATAAAGATTACTCAGCCTGCAGTAGTTAATCACACAGCATGTTCCCAGTCGGCATGTACACTGGCCATTTAACTCTCAGCTCTGTTTATGGAGGGCATATACACACCTAGTAGCTGAACATGTAATTTGTTTTGACTATGGTGTGGCTTCCAAGGTCAAGACCTGGGTCTACAGGGTTCCACTGTTCTTCAGGGATTTCAGCAGGACCTGGAGAAGCACCACAAGAACAGTTTAGCACCAAAGTTTTGTTCTGCAGAGTCACTCAGACCATGATGTTCAGAAGTATTTGCAAAGTGACACCATTATAAATGTCCGTAATTCCCACTTGATCCAATCCATGTAAATCTAAATACCATCAAAATACTTCTGTTTGCACAGAAATTAGTAATGAGCATCAATCACATTGTCACTTGGTACTAATATTACAGGATTTTAAAGTCATTATCATATCGAGGGCTGACTGCAATAAACAGTTATGTCCAATGTAAAACATCTGGACATAACTGTTTATTGCAGTCAGCCCTCAATATGCAGTATAATGATGACGTAAACATCACTGCTGCTCATGGGGCTGCACCTGTATACACCAAGTATACAGTTACTCATTAGTGTTTTAGCAGCACACTAACAAATCGCCTCCTTGACACGCAGCATGATACACATATGCTAAGTGATTCATGCAATCTCTGCTCGTTATTCTTTACAGCTGAGGGTTCTGAGCTGAGTCTGTTAATATATTTCTGTTATTCCAGTAATAATCCTTCAGGCCAAAGCAAAATGCAACACATTCATGGTTATTCCTTTTGAGATAAGAAGCCTGTTAGTTGTTGCATTATTTTGCAATTTGTCTGGAAACCCTTCCTTGTTTTTCAATGAAGCTGTTATGGCCCCAATTTGTTATCCAATTTGTTAGGCCACGGACAGCAAGGGATGACAGACAAAAATTCTTAAACTTCAACAGATTTAATTAAACAAACACATAGAACTAATCTACAATCTACCCTACTGACCAAGATTGAAATAAAAAAAAGATATTTACAGTCCCCTGGAAATTGAGATGGGCTGCTGTGTTATGTTGGGACAGGAAAATGTTTTCTGAGGTCTTGAAAAGATGACAGGTCTGGTCAAAATCCTTTCCTTGCAAAAGCAAAACCCTTTCACATTCAATTTTTTCCTTTTGAGAAGCCCCTCCCAAACTTTTCTCCAATTCTCTGGACATTCCCCTCTGCAGGGAGGACATGCCCCAAAACCTAATTGGGCTTAAAAAAAAAAATTCAATACTGCCATCTAGTGGCTTTTTTTTTTCCATTGTTTTCCCTGCTGAATCCCAAATCCTTCTGGCTCTGCGTGAAAGTGAACTTCATCACAGAGGGCCAATGTGTTTGATGCTGATTTGCTGATTTAATTAATCAGCCGTGTTTTCCCATTTTACTTTGCTGTGAAAAAGGACCATTGCTAGAATGCAAAACAGCCAGGGCTGCACCCATTTTACAAGCTGCTTCTACATGACCTTATTCAGCCGTTTCAAACCATTTTGGGAATCGTGCTGCACTTAAGCCTGTTTGAATGTGCTCAATAAGGTGTTTTCCACTTATTCCTCATGGTTTTAATGTTTCAAACGTAATAAATGATCCATAAATAAATATTTCATTCATTTTTTTTTTTTACCATTAATAATACTGTGTATTTTAACCCTAATCAGTAAAACGCGGGTCAGAAATGACACGGAGCATGAAAAAAACACTCATATTTGTTACAAATCTCAGTCTATCGATTGCAATTTTTTTTTTTGTGAACCAAATTTTGTTGTTTTGCTGTGTGTAAAAAATTTTTAGGATCACTTGAGCGGTTTTTATGCATTAATAAAATTGTCAACTGGGTCAGTACTGACCCGAGCGATGTTGCCTAACCCAAGAAGACCAGAGCAGTCAACCATTTTTGGCTTCACTGATACAATGTCACTGGCCAGTTATGTTCCTAAGAAAAACAACAGAGTGGTTGTTCTGTCAACCATGCACCATGATCAAGAGATCCTACCACAGAAGGCTAAGAAGCCTGTCATGATCGACCACTATAACCAGACAAAATCAGGCGTTGATAATTTGGATCATCCGGTTGGCATGTATACCACCAAGCGGAAGACAAACAGATGGCCTGTTGTTCTGTTTTACAATCTTCTAGATATAGCAGGTGTGGCAGCTTTCATCTTGTACATATGCAACTTTCCGCAGTGGAAAGCCAGCAGTCACAGGTCAAGACGACGTTGCTTCTTCTCTGAGTTAGGGTTTGCCCTTGTAGATGGCTACATTTGTCGTAGACTTGCCAACAATCCTGGTCTGAAGAAAACAGTGAAAACTTCATTGGAAGCCATTGGCTATAAAGGTGACGATAACAATGATGATGCAGCTGCCAATGACAGGGGGCAAACAAAAAAAAGGAAGCGATGTCATCTCTGCCCTGTGCTCAAGGACCGTAAAGCTTCCAACAAATGCTCCAACTGCAAACTGCCTGCATGCCGTGAACATGCCTCATCTACAATCATATGCAGAAAGTGCAACAACTAAGAGCAGGAACAGACTCATTCAACATTGGTATTGGTGATGTAGAAAGTAATTCAGGTGTTTGGAAAATAATGTGTAGTTATTAGGCCGAGTAGTTATCGACCATAGATGACACAGTCATGCTTTATCTAACTGTGCTTGCAATTATAAAGCTATTTGTGTCAATCAGTTCATATTCAGTAGATATTATCTTGCATATTACCTCATTTCATTCAAGCTGAGTTATTGAAAGGATTGTTTAAATATCTGAGAAAAACAAACTTTTTGTTTATATAAATGGTCATTTTCATACAATGGTTTGACTGGTATATGAGGTGCCAAAATCAGTCAAAATCATTACTTTACATTACTTAAAAATTCATTAAAAAGAAACTACTTGTTATACGTTTTTTATATTTGGTATATAATTTCATTATTAGTGTACCAAGCATGAAATAAAGTGTCACCAAGATTGTAATTTCAATGTTTGAGTTATTAAGGAAAACAAATTTTCAGTTTCACACTTTTCTACATATACGGAGAAATGTGAAACTTCCATATGGTTTTAATCCCATTTATTTCAAGCTTACAGTAAAGTAGAGAGTTTATCCTTTCAAATGAGCTATTGATCATTAAAATAGGAGCAGTATTAGATTTTTTGTGAATTTTTGAAAATTCGGGTCAGTTCTGACCCACGTTTTACGCCAACGTAAGTTTTTAGGTTTTACTGATGAGGGTTAATGTGTGAATAAAGATATTATAATAATTAATAATTAATATGCCATAATTCAGTACAAAAAAGCTAAAATTTGGTTCCCATTCATGCCTTATAATAAACTTCAGTTCATTGACAGTCCAAGGTCCCCGCAATTGCATTTAACCCACCCACATAACCCACCACACGTTTTTTATGAGCGATAGGTTGGGGCTGCGAGCATTACTCGCTGTCTGTGACAACACAGCCATACTGTTTTAATTTGGGCTGTGTGCGGCTTGCCATTATCCGGAACAAACAGGGGCATTCTTGAAGACAACGTCTGGAAGTCACACACAGTCTGCTCTACGATGCCCTTGTACCCTTCTGTGTCAATTTTGTCTATATCTACCCATACTGAGTGCAGTAATTCAGCCCCAGACCATCACAGACGTTGGCCTTTGATCATGTCGGAGATAAGTAGGGATGGTCCTCCTCCTTTTTGGCCCAGAAAACACAACGTTTATTATTTCCAAAAATATTTTGAAAGATGGACTCCTCAGACCACAGTACTGCTTCCTTCTTCCCCTACATTCTTTTCAGATGAGTTCTAGATCAGAGAAGGTGGTGGCGGTTCTGCACTGTGTTTGGTTTTAGCAAAGTGAAGAACCTCAGATCATCTCACTGGT